CTGGCCAGTAGATTAGTTATAAAACACATTACATGATTATTTGCTGCATTGCACTGTTTTGGAACTTATATTGTTAAACTGCTTTTGGAACTTATATTGCATATGTAAGTGAGCTTGGGGTGGAGAAATCCTTGAAGACCCCTTGCCTTACTGAGATTTCTGTTTAGAGATCTCACCCCACATTTGGGGCGCTTATTTCAGGTTCAGGTAACCCAGGGGTTGAGACCTCTAGCGGCAGGAGGCCGGAGCTGAGTTAGATATGGCTGCTTATACTGTTATGATTTGATGTTGGCATGTTTTCTGCTACCTTTATGATTATGTTGTTATTGTTGAGACTCTGTTGGCTATGTCGTTTATTTGGTGAGCATGGGGATTGTTCATGCCACATTGACTTGACTTTATGCTTTTTAGATTCGAGTTGTATAATTGTATCAGGATTATGTCCGGCCTACGTGTTGTAGTTCCGTGACTTAGATATTCACACTTATCTATCTATTGAGGTATTTCAGTTACGTATCTTTTGTAATTTACATACATGAGATGTTTTTATGGAATGATTAAACAATCAACTTGGCTAAGTATACTGACGTCATAATTGAAAAGAAAAAGATATTCCGCAATTTTAATTAAGCGTGACTTAATACGATGACATGTTAACAAATCGGGTATACACAGGGTGTTACATATTAATATTAGGTATAAGGGTAGTTTAGTATTTTTATGATACTCTAGAATCTTCTCTTGCTCTTTTATATAAGAGCCTCATTGTACAAATTAATTACCACCAATCAATGAAATCAATATTTTCTATTTTCTCTCTTTATCTTCTGATATGGTATCAGTAGACATTTTTTATCCTCCATGAAAGGAGGTTCCGCTGCCGTCATTCTTTTTCCCTTTGTTTTCCGCTGTCGTCATTTTTTTTCTTTTTATTTTTCTTCATCGATTATCCTTTTCCCTCTTGTTCCTGCTCAAGTTTGTTGGTATATACCACCATTGTTGCAGTTCCAAATCCGTGCTCTTGCCATCACCGCCGCTGCTTCAGTTCCGGTTGTCAGCAACAGTTGCAGCATCAGTTTTTTTTTCAGTCATCTTTTCCAGCCACTTTTCGCCGTGCATGATTTTTCGGCATGTTCCTCTTCAATTTTTTTAGTTGTTGATCATCTCTTTTTCCAACACCTTCCACGCTGTCTCTCCGGTCTGGTTACGCCAAATATCCATGCGTTTTCCAGATCTCTTTAACAGTATTTCATATCTGTGTTGTTTGCAGGTCATCTTCTCCGGCGACTTCTAGATCTTTCAGATCTGTCTCATTTTCTTGTTCATGGATCTTCGCTGTGTCTTTCTCTCCTCCGGTCGCGTTTCTCTTTTTTCGACCATGTCCTTCTCTTTTCCGGCTGCATCTCCTTCATTTTCGGTCATCACTTTCGACCGTGTCTCATTCACCGGCTGCATCTTCCATCTCTGACCGTTTCTATTCCAGATTGTTCCCATTTCAGATATGTGTTTTTCTTCTCTTGCTCTTTTTCGATATGCATTTTTTTTCCACGCCAATTTTTTTTTCTTTTTTCTTTCTCTTCTTAGTTATCTTCCACCTTTGTCAATATGGGTCTCTGATATATTTTTATTTTCAGATCTATCTACTTGTTCTCTTTCACTTTTCATTTTGCAGGTCCATGAAGATTCATGGAGCTCATGGATTTAACTGCAATGCACCTTTATAAATTTTTTTAATTTCTTTTATTTTTTTTATTTTTCTGATGTACTGTTTCTAGCTTGTATTTGGCCACTTAGATTTTATTCCCACATATGTTTGTGGTGTTATTCAAGTTTGCTGATGTTCATTTCAGAACATTTGATTTTGCTGATGTCCATCCCGACACCGTTTATATTAGGTGGCTGATGTCCATCCCAGTCCTCCCTTCCTTAGCTGATGTCCATACCAGCACCATTGCTTTCGCTGAAGCTCATTCCAGCACACTGAAGATTTTGGTTTCTTATTCAGGATTTTTTATTTTGCTATTATGTTTTCTTGATTTTTCTTGTTCAAGATGGAAGTTCTCTTTATTCACTCTCCATCTTGAGGGGGAGTATTAGATATTAGGTATAAGGGTAGTTTAGTATTTCAATGATACTCTAGAATCTTCTCTTGCTCTTTTATATAAGAGCCTCATTGTACAAATTAATTACCACCAATCAATGAAATCAATATTTTCCATTTTCTCTCTTTTATCTTCTAATAGATTCTTAGTTAGTTTATCTTTTAGGAACTAAAATTTGGTTTTGTGGCAAATTCGAATTTGTATATATGTTTGAAATACAAATTTTTTGTTTCAAAATCAAATGTTTATGAGAAAATCTATCCTTCTTTAACCTCTAACTCTACTTATAATTGAGAATATTTGTTTTAGGATAAGGTTATATTTACAAACTTTTTGTTTACAAACTACACTACGTCTGACCGGTAAGATACTCTTGAGTATAGTATTACCGGTCAGACATAGTGTAGTTTGTAAGTTTGTAAAAAAAAAATTGTCAATATAACCCTACTCTTTGTTTTAAGGGAAAATTATTTCTCCTGGGAAGGAAAATAAAATTATTTTTTCTATAACCTTAAAATAACATCATTTTAGGATTTAAAATTAAAAAACGGGTTTGATATTTTTCATGCTATATGAAATAAAACTATTTTCTACACACACATAAAAGTATGTGGGGTCCATGTGGGTAACATGAGGAGAAGAGAAATCAGTCAGAAGTGAAGGTACTCCACTGCAGGGGCATCAAAATTTATATTGCCTAATAGGGATAGGTTATTTTGCCTACCCCTTTCAATATCGTTCGATTACAATCTCATCCAACGGTCGATATTTGCGATATAAAATAAACTCTTTTTCCTCCTTTCTTTCTCTTCCTTTCCTCCCACACCCTTTCTCTCTCCTCCCCTTTCTCTCTTCCTCTACTACCAAGACCGAAAATAAGGAGAAAATCAAACGAAAAACACATATTGAATTTTCAAAAAAGGATCCGGTGGCATCAAGGCCACCACTGCAGGGGTGCGGGGGATGACGCCCCCAACCCCAAAAAAAATTCGAAGACTTTTATTTTTTAATGAAGTTATGTCTTTTGGAGCTATCATTCAGAAGTGAAGGTACTCCATTGCCAACACCATTTGCAGAGTAATATTGAGGTTCCGTTTAAGCTTCTTGCCATGGAGGTGATATGCTAAGATTCTGTTTAGGACATAATCATAAACCAAGAGCAACTCCAAATTTATTTTCATCCCCCCAATTTTCGCCCTCCTAATAAACAATTTGTTTCCACCATTGATCGCCTGTAAATCTTTAATATTTAATATTGTTTGTGGCGGAGTACAAACATATAAATTATTGCACAATCCAATTTCTTAAACTTTTGGAAAGACCATGACGATAAGAGTATTGATTTGTATATTACGGTAGATTATAAATATTACAAAATTGATAAAGACATGTCTCAAGGTAGACAAGGTTTATCCAATGAAAAACTTAAGAAATCTGTAGACGTATAAAATAATGGGATATGTTATTATGAGGTCAATTGATAAATTGGGTAACTTCTACATCTGCATCTAAATTCAAATATGTGTTTTTCATTCGATTTTCTTGTTATTTTCTGTCTTGGTTGCAGAGGAAGAGAGAAAAGGGAGGAGAGAGAAAAGGTGGGTAAGGAAGTGAGGAGAAAGAAAGAAAGAAAAAGTTTATTTTATATCGCAAATATCGACCGTTGGATGCTATTGTAATCGAACGATATTGAAAGGGGTAAGCAAAGGTAGACAAAATAAGATTAGGCAGAATAACCTATCCCTTAATAATATTTAAAAATATACAAATTATATATTGTCGGAATAAAGTGAATAATCAGTCGAGATACATGTGTTTAAAAAAAATATAAGTGTGTTTAAATTGCTAAAAGATGAAAGACAACGTAATATATACAAATAAGTAAGGAATAATATAAATATTTATATTTTCACAACCAATCGAATTAGGTTATAAAATCTTGATCAAAGCAAAAGTAGTATATATATTTATATTTTCGCAACCTATCATTTGCAGTTGATTGCAATAATTTTGTATCTGAGCTATGAATAATTAATAAATAAAAATATCTAAATTATTTTTTTGATAAATTAGAATTCAAAAAAATGAGAGATGTTATATTTACAATCATTTTTTCCTTATAGTCTCTTATAACTACTTTTATGGTTATTAGATCAAAATTAAATTAACAGTTTTACAATGACATTAAATGAGATCCATTGATTTGATTTTTATACAAAAATTATAAAAGTGGTTACAAGAGAAAATATGTTATAAGTATAATTCCTCTTTTAAAAGTAAAATAAAAAATATGAAAAAAATTAATTCTATTTTTTTATTTAATGATAATAGTTTGATTAGTATTATGTATTTTTAATTTATATGGTTAAAATTTATTTATTACATAAATTAAATATTTAAAATTTAAAGTGTAAATAAGTAAAAGAGGCGGACCCTTTAACATCGGGTTAAATTAAACTAAAAAGTTTAACAGCAAATCTTAAATGTTATTTTTCGTCAATCTAACGGTTATAATTTATTAATTTATATTATTATATTATTAAAAGTTAATAAATTAATTAATAATTATAAATTAATAAATTATAACCGTTATAATAATTAAATTTGGTGTAAAGCTTCTTAGTTTCAGAGGATCTGTCTCTAAGTAAAATTAGTAAAATTTTTTGACTAATTAATAATAAGTATTTAATGATGAATGAATACTTAATTTTATAAAGTAGAGTGCAATTTTTTATAAATTTAAAGTTTATTGTCATGTAATAGAGTGTAATTTACTTAATTATAAAAAATCAAATACGTCCTTGGCTGTATTTACTTAGGTATTCTTTCAAAAAGAAAAAAGAAAAAGAAAAATTGCTTCTTGAAAACAATCCTATAGCAGGAACCAAATTTGAAGTTGTTTGTTTAAACAAAGACAAGGATGTTCGAAGTCTGAAGCAATAGATAACAAGCAATCTCGTAACTCTGCTAAAAAGGTTTGATTTTGAGGGATAATGGGTGGGAAGAAGAGGAAGAGGGAGGGACCCAACAACAAGTTTTCAGAGAATCCACCAGATTTTGGGCATCTTGCTTCTCTGTACCCATCATTCGAACCCTTTGTGCAATACTCGCGTTATGGGCACCCCAGGATCGATTGGACCGACTTCAACGCCACCCGTGAACTCACCCGTGTATTACTCCATCACCACCATGCTCTCAACTGGTATTGTCTCTCAAATTTTCATACTTTTATTGAAGGGTCCTGTGATTTCTATCATGTCTCATTTCACATTATTTAGTCACGTGAGAAGGCTTGAATTAATAAGTCATGTTTGGAGATAGAGAATTAAGGAGGATATTGAGACTTTAAGGAGAAACTTGAATTATTTTATGTGATTGTGGCTCTGTTATTTATTAACGAAGTTGGATTACATAACCAATTGCAATTGAAATCTTAAATGCAATCAAAATCTTAATTTAATTAGAAACTACTGATAAGATAATCTAACTAATTTTAATCTAAAGGTAAAATAAACTAATTTAATAACTAACAACTAGGATATGGGAATGAGATAGGATACTTTGATACCGGTGTCGAATTAAAAAGTTTGACACCAAATCCTAATTGTTGATTTTTGTCAATCTGATGACTATAATTTATTGGGAATTACTAATTAATTAATAAATGTGATCCAATAATTATCTCCCTCAGATTGGCAGAAATCAATGGTTAAAATTTGGTGTCAGAGGATCCTGCCCCTAGGGGAATAGTGATGAATCTGGATTGCTACAATAAAACACATAAATTCTTTCTTTATTTTCAGTTTTCACCGTTGATTTGTTTATAAACGGTTGATATTATGAGAGGAAGCATTCCCTCTTTTAATAACATGTTATTTGCAATTTAATGTTGAGTTAACAAGTCATGTGATTAACATGTTGGTTGTAGGTGGATTCCTGATGGACAGTTGTGTCCTACTGTTCCCAACAGGTCTAATTACATCCATTGGGTTGAAGATCTTCTCTCATCTGACATCATTCCAAATACCATTTCAACTGAAGGTGGTAAGGTGAGGGGATTTGATATAGGAACTGGAGCCAATTGCATATACCCACTTCTTGGTGCATCTCTTTTGGGATGGAGTTTTGTAGGATCAGGTTTATTGTTTTATCTGGTTCTGTATTCTATTTTTTTATAACTGCTGTAAAAAATCGGAATTCAGGCTTGCTTAAATGACTGCAGATGTGACTGATGTTGCAATTGAGTGGGCGGGGAGAAATGTTGATAGTAATCCACATATTTCTGAGTTGATTGAAATTAGACAGGTTCAAAGCAATGCAGATGCTCCCTGTGTGGAGGGTTTGCATCATGAAGAGTCAGTCCATGGTGAGAATTATCATGGACCTCCCATGCTCCTTGGCGTAGTCAGGGAGGATGAGAAATTTGATTTCTGCATGTGTAATCCGCCATTTTTTGAAAGCTTGGAGGAAGCTGGACTTAATCCCAAGACTTCTTGTGGTGGCACTTCTGAAGAAATGGTTTGCCCTGGTGGTGAGAAGGCCTTCATTACTCGTATTATTGAAGATAGTACTCAGCTGAAGCATCATTTTCGGTAATAGTTTTTGCATATGAAATGTCATTCTTTTTTCTTATGTTTAGGTGTTGATTTACTTGTAATGAATTTGTGCTCATTCATTTCAATGTGTTCATAGGTGGTTCACTTCGATGGCGGGTAAAAAATCAAGTCTCAAGTACCTTATATCAAAACTTTGGGAGGTTGGTGTAACCATAGTGAAGACAACTGAGTTTGTCCAAGGCAGGACATCCCGATGGGGGCTTGCTTGGTCTTTCTTGCCTCCCATACAGAAGTCATCAATTTCGTTGCCTGACAAGAATAACATGTCCTTCATGCTTGAGGTGTAGTATCTAATTTAGAGTTTCTAACAAATGTATTGATTTTAAGCAGACCCGTAAAAAATGATTGTTATCCCGTGCCAATGAAAAAATGATGTGATTATTCTGGGAGCAATCCTAGTTCCTAGCGCATTTTCAGGCATACTAAGATATTGACCCTTGATAGAATGGTTGAGAGCATAAATTTATACTTTATGCACTAAGAGTTAAGTTGGATATCATGGTGACTAAGAAACTTAATTCAAAATAGGGTTCAAACAACAAAATATGGTTTTATCAACTAATTTGGAACATAAGACAGTCTTTCTAACATGATATTTGGGAATATATGATACCTTTTACTAGGAACCTTGTTTTACCCGTGAGTGATTGTAGTATCATTCCAACATATTATGTACACTAAGAAATTTTCTCATTTCATGCACACTATTTGGGTGAGCATTCAATTCTAGTTTGTGCACCCATCCTCCAAGCACAAGGTTGTTGGTGGAAAACTCAATAGCTTTGTGTTTTTCCCAGTAGGGGCAAAAGTTTCTATTTGATTTCCTACTTGGAAGATGTCTTCAATTATATGAAATACATGTTGCCTTGAAATACTCATCAATTGCATCTATATATGTTCTCGTATGTTGTGTCACTTTTGGTTTACTCCTGATGTCACTTCAGGGACTTCAACGCCAACATGGTGCCATTAATGTGTTGGAAGCTGTCAAGTCATACTTCTCTTTGCATGGCCTATCCTGTACATTGAATACCTCCTCTTTCACTGTGGATGTAAGACTAGTTACTCTGTCTCAGATTATGATTTAATTTCCTTGTGATGACTATTTAGCGTGATTGCATTTTAATAGGTTGTGGCATCGAAAGATGAGTGTGATTCAATCGTGAAGAATGAATTACCCATTACCAATAAATCCATGGATTGTCAACCTACAAGAGAGACATCTAATGGATCAAGTCTGAATTTCTCTTTGAATAGATTATGCCTTCGAATATTGGTATGCTTGCATTCTTTGTTGGATTGGAAAATGATTTTGATTGGCAGAATTTACATTGGTCTTGTGTTGTGTATTCCATCCTACAGGTTTTTCAGCAAATCCCTGGGACACTGTTGGTGAAAGGTTCCTTACAAGATAGGAATAGCCCATCATCAGGTTTTTCTCCAACCTGCTTTTCCAATTTTAATTTTCTTAAGTGTCATTTTCATTATGTTTGTAGTATTTTAGTCTACAGCTGACTCTAAAAATAGCTTTGGAGGAATATGTTCTTACCCTGTGCTGCTAAGATGTCCTTCTTAGCTAAGTGAAATGATGAATCTTATGAATATGGGCTTGGTGTGCATTATAAACATTGCAAGTCTAACTGATTACTTATCACTTTACTGGAATTTCTTTTTTTTTTTTTAACTGATGCACATTTACTCCTCACACTGTTTGCACCCTTGTACATTGGTTGTTCCTGCAGCTGATATTTCGATAATTGCAATGGTTAAGTTCAAATGGCAATGTACTAAAAAAAAAAAAAAAAGTTCAAATGGCAATGCCTCCGCTAGAAATTAGAAAGTGTGAAAAAATTATTTACTTGTGGGCTGTTTTCTTTGCAGGAGCATTCTCAGTGATTTTCCAAAAACTGGAGGAAGCTTTGAGGAATAAATTTTGTACAAAACCAGTGTAGGGTTTTGATTATTTGATTTATCATTTGGGACAGAGTGAGTGGATATATTTTGAGATGTTGAGAAGTTTCATTAGTGCTAATTTCTGGGTTTATGATTTATAGAAAACAATTGACGGTGTTGTTTTGTTGTAAAAAGGAAATTGTGTTGCTCCTTGAGAAAATTTTGGGTAGATCATATATACTATTTCGTGTACCAAACCACCAAGAATCATTGTGGTTTAAGAATTGTACTTAGTGGGGATCCAACTTTAAAATTTCAAACGAACTTTCCTTTTATGCCGATTCAATGCACAAGCTATATATGGTTAACAGTTTTAGTTTAGTACTTTCCTTTTATTTGCAAAGGCAATGATAGGGTTTAATGTTTCTTCTCCGAACCAATGATAAAGTTATAACACAAGGGAGTGAATGGAGTGATGTGAGAAGAGAAAGAGAGAAAAAAAGGGCCTTATCCACTTTGCACCAAATAACTTAGGGGTTTGATTTTCTCTTTGCACCAAATAACTTAGGGGTTTGATTTTATGAGAATTGAATTCTTATGTTGTGACTCATCTAGTGGTGAGTCTCATATTTATTAAAAAGAGAAAAAGAAAAGAAAAGTTTTGCACGCAAATCGAAGATCACAACATGAGAATTGAAGAATTGAATTCTCATGAGAAAATGATTTTTCAATAACTTATCTCTAATTTATAGGAGAAACATTAAACTCTTTTTTCTTAACACATTTATGGAATCCATTGTTTAATACTAGTATTAATCACAAGAATCAAATATTGTCTCGGGAGACTTAGCTAATGATTAGATCTCGTGAAATCTCTAACAAAAGAATCACATCCCGTGAAATTTTGACAACAACTTCGGAAGAAATTAGCTTCTTTATACAACTTCGTTACCTGAAATTAAACCAAAATTTGTCAAGTCATTTATTTTGAAAATAATGCATAAATTATTTTTGTTGGTCGCTCTGTCTTGTGTCCGTCACAATTTTTCTTTCCCAACGTTATTAGATGTGCGTATGTTTTAGGAAATGTTAAATTCTCCTGTAAAGATCAATTAAAATCTTAATTATAATCTAATAAAAGAAAAGATTAATTTTTTTTTGATATGTACATCAATATAAATTTTGATATGAACTGATTTAACTCAAAAATCTCATAACTTTTTACTCATTGGTCAAGGACTACTCTACTTTTTAAATCATATAGATTATGAATAATGATATATTTTTTAAACAAAATCTCCATACATTTCTTAATTACACAAAACAACAGTACAAAATAAAAAAGTAGAAATATTTAATATTTTGAAAACCTAAAAGGTATCTAATAGTTTTTCTTT